TTTGTGGAAGAATGACAAAAAGACAGGGGCCAGTCAGAATATTGTTCATCCAGCTAATCGTCTCCTACACTCTCTTTATTGCCTGTTGAAAATACTGCAGTCCCAGTGATACAGAGGGAAACAAATCTGGAGACTTCTGCACATTTTAACATGAGAGGAATTTCCATGTGTGCTCTTAGCTAATGTCGTGATAACACGAGAATCCCACTGTGATAAAAATCTGAAAATAATGAATATTTATGTTGAAAGAGTGACACGTCTTCAGGAAATACACGATTTTTTAAGAAAGCTACCCTATATGTCCTCAAATTCTTCCTATGACTGAGCCTGTCACAGCAAAATTAGTTAACTTGCTTCTGCCCAGTGGCTTTCACTGCGTGAAAACTCAGCTGTAAAACCAGCAGAAGAATAAATCAAGTATCTGTCTTTAGCGAGGAAGAGTTACACCCAGTTACACGACTCTTTGTAAGCTGGCATTTATTTTGGCTATTTTCCCCATCATTTCATGACCGCCAGCCTCCATCCGCCCTCCCCTGCTCCTCCTGGTGCTTTGCTTTCCTTCCCTTCCCGACCTCCAAGCTGACCTGCGTGCCCAGGAGAGCCCCGGCTGGCGTGTGCCAAAGCCTTCATTCAGCATTTTATACAACTGCCGAGAGCAGTAGAAAGCGTCACCAAAAGTGTTTGACCCAGACTGAATTGCCACCTTGTCCTGGCGCGTCTCCTGTCGCTAACAGGGGCGATGGATTGCAGCTGCAGGCAGGTGAGACCCAAAGGCGGCACCCTACCTCCGCACCGGCATCCCCCGCCAGCGCCACGGCTTCAACCGCCAGCCGCCGCCATGGTTTTCTGTGAATTCATTGAAGTGCTGGCTGTACCAGTTTTGGCTCTTTCTGAAGCGCGTTCCTACTGCGCCCTGTCGGCGTGGCGAGCAGCGCCGGCGCGGGGGCAGTTGCAGCTCAGGCACCCGCCTTGGAGACTCTGGCCCCGCAGCTTTACGGTTCAGTTCGACAACAAGCAACGAAGCGAAGCAAACTCATAAATTAGGGAATAAGTGAGCAAGAGGCGTAAAATCCATGCTCGTTTTCTTTACAGTGCGTATGGGGAGCTGTTAGACCTTTATAACTCGCGCTCTGCAGGTACTGCAGAATGCTGAGGTGCAAAGCCAAATTTCCGTCAGCGGGAGGGGGCCCTTTCCGGGTGTAATTTTGGTTGAGCTGGAGTCATGTCTGAAAGCAGTTAGGCTGGACGGCTGCAGGAATATAGAAAAAACCAGGCGTTGGGTCAAGATGGACGTATATCATCGTGAGCAGGAGGGCTGGGCTGCGCAGGGAGCCTGTGTGCGGGGAGAGGGGGCCAAGAAGGGACTGTCCCTGCCCTGGGGCAGGGGAGGGAGAGGTGACAATCGCTCCTAAAATAGCGGGAGTGATCACAGGGGATGCGGGAGGGTTTTTCTTCGTCTCTTTCCAGGCCAGGGCCAGTCTCGTTTTTCCCAGGTAGCCGCTCTTACCGCGCCGTAGTTGGGATGCGCTGGAATCATTGCCTCACTGATGAGGTCACCCGCTAGGTGTTCACCTCTCCCTTGGGAAACCTCCCCGGCAGTCAGGACGCTTTGTGGGATACCTGTCAAACAAGCGCAAGGGAAGAGAGCTGTAACTGCGTCTGACCTTCTCACTGTGCAAGTTAAAAACACATAGTTGTGACTGTTTTTCCTCTGAAGCGCACATCAGACTTTTATGCAAGCCTGGTAACCTCGAGCGCAACAAGTAGGGGACAACTAGGATCTACTGAGACAAGAGCAAGATGTGGTCACCTCTGGGTAGGGGGGCGATTGCTCTCAGAAGTCGGTGGCACGGGCATCCCATGTCCAGCCAGGGCGGTGCTGGAGGGGTGGGGCAGGGTGGGGCAGGTGCCGCCCTTCCCAGGAGACCCGCCCCGCCCCAAACAAGTAGGGGACAACTAGGATCTACTGAGACAAGAGCAAGATGTGGTCACCTCTGGGTAGGGGGGCGATTGCTCTCAGAAGTCGGTGGCACGGGCATCCCATGTCCAGCCAGGGCGGTGCTGGAGGGGTGGGGCAGGGTGGGGCAGGTGCTGCCCTTCCCAGGAGACCCTCCCCGCTCCACGGGTGCAGCCCAGAGAGAAAACCCTGTGCCAGGCGGCGGCGCGCACCAAGCCCCGAGCTGTTAAATATATCATGATATAGCAGAGTAGAGAAATTACTGCACATGAAATACCGTGGCGCAGTGAAGCTGTTCTTTAAAGGCACCCGTTACACCTCTGTAAGACGTGTCAGAGCAGCGCAGCTGCTCTGCGATCAGCGTGCACGCCGCTTTGTTTGAAAGTGCAAGAAGTGCCCGATGCATGTTTTATTAAAGCGCCGGCATAGCCAGCATGCTGCCTTTGATGTCCTTGCTGCTTTCCAACCTGTGTGCTCGCTTCCTCTCTGGGCACTGGGTATGTTCGAGCACCCTTTTTTTTCCCCTACCTGTCCATCTTTAATCTTTCATCCTTAAAGCTGGCATTCAGATACCTTTTTCTGAAAAGCTCTGCAATTTCTGTAGCGTTGTTCTCTGATAACTGCAGAACTTGTATGAAGCATTTTTGAAGCCGGTGCGGGAGCAGCAGTGGGAGAGAGCAGGGCTGGGAAGGGGTGTCTGGGGGAGGCATCCCCTTACCCTCCCGCTGACCAGAGAGGGGAGGTTTGGGCTGACTGATGCCTCCCACAGCTCTCCTTCATCCCATCTCTCAGGATTTTCAAAAAGCCTCTTGCCTGCGTCCGCAACCTCCCCTCCCTTAGCTGAATTACAGCACTCGTCTTTGCAAGATGCAGAGGGGCTGAGGTCAAGAGGGACTTTCCCCCCGGCCCCAGGTTGAAACCATCACCAACGTCCCATGCCAGCTTGCTTTCTGCATCACTCAGCATCCTAAAGGGAGAGCTGATCTGAAAACAGCAATGCTGAAGGTGCTAATATTAGAGGTGACACTTTGGGCTGTCACAGCTCGCAGCTGGTGCCTGCCCTTACCGATGGGTGCAGGGACCGATCCTGGGGTGGCGGGACCCTCCAGTCCCTTGCTGTCGTGGCGGAGGCTGGGATGGCGGTGCCCACCGAGAGCACATGGCAGCCCTGCTCCAAAATCGGAGCCCGGCAGGGCATAGCATGCCCAAGAGCCGGGTGCCCCTGTCTGGCCAGGGTCAGCCCTGCCCGCCCTCGTGCAGGCAGGCAGCAGGGTTTGGCTATTACTTGTTATGTATTTGCACCTTTGATGCAGTTAAATGCTGACACACGAGTAGAACGTTCACTCCTATGATTCCAGTGTCATGGCAGTTGGCAGTGATTGCATCCCACCCGGTGTCTCCCGCTCAGCGGCGCAGGCTGTTGGCTTCACTGTGGGTTGGTTTGGCCAGTTGGGTGAAGAGCTACATCGCCTCTTGTTTTACCCATCCAAATAGTCCTCAAGCTTTCCTGGGGCTCGCTCCTGGCGCACCACAGGCGGTGGGGCATTTCTCCTTCTCCTGGGTGCCCAATGCTGAGCACCCCAAACCCATGTCGGCCTCGACTGAGGCATAAGGCACTGTATTAAGAAAAAAGACTTTGCTTTGATTTGTAACGTTGGCCCTGTCTGCACGGGTGACATTTAGGTTCATGAAGCCAGGGGAGCTGCCGTGCCACCCGGGGAGGCAATGCCGGGATGCCTGGCTCCATCCCACCACCCTGCTCCTCACTCGGGCGCCGGGAGCCCCGAGGCGTGCGGGAAAGTTACTCAGCATCCCGCAGCCCTCGGCCTTTTGCTCCCTGGTTTTTGGTTTTGGGTGGTTTGTGTTTTATTTTTTTTTTTTTTAATGAGACCTTTGCTCCCCTTGCCCTGGCTGGGGGATGCCGGCGGAGGAGGGCCGGGCGCTCTTCCCAGCCCCGCCGGCGGCCGTGCTTCGCTGGTGGATTTCTCTTGCCTTTCGCTGTGACCTGCGAACGTCGGAGCAGGCGCTCTGCCAATTTTGTGATCTGCTGCCTGCTTCAAAATGGAGGCAGGAAGGTATCCATTTTCATCAAGGAGATGACAGTGCTTCAGTCTTCCTGACCATCTGGAGAGAGGCACCTCCAGCGCAGAAACAAAGCGCGGAGGAATATAGAGAGCATATAGGCAGGGGAAATAAATGGCACTGTAAACAACAAATTACGCTTATCAGCCCGGACTGGTTTTGGGGGATTTTTTTGGTTTTGTTTTGTTTTTAAATGCTGTCCTGGTTGAGCTAAACTAAAGCAAGAAATACAACAGATATTTTCTAAAAGGCAAGTTGCAGAAAGCTCTGGTGTATTAGTAAACAAATATAAGTAAATGAGTGTTTTGGCACACGTACTAAGCTTATTGCACAGACAAATATAATAAGTCCTAAGAAAGGAGGAGGTTTTTCCCCTGATGTGTACATATGCTGTGTTGGTGGTCTTGTTTAGATCCAGGTTTTTAATCGTCCTTTCAAGCTTCTCTGGAAAAAGCTTGATCCATGGGAATTTAATATCCCAAGATATGTTTGTAATTTTCAGCGTTCTTGATAATGCTATTTTTCTAGATTTCATTTTTTTTTAGTTTGGGAAATAAAGGGTTTTTTACTTCCTTGCAGTGCTGTCAGTTTTGTTCTTAAGTGGGTAAAGTGTGTATGCTTTCATACGAAAAAATCAGCATTGTTTCAAGTTCCTGTTTATTTTAAGCTCCGTAATGCTCTAGGAGGAACATATGTACATCTGTTTGTTCATTTTATTTACAGAAATACATAGTTTGACAAATACCTTGCAAATATCCTTGTTTAAAGCTGGAAAATGTCAGGCTGGAGTTTCTTTTGAAGCTTAAAATTTATTTTCCAGTCACACGTATACTGAGGTTTTTGTGTTCTGAGAGAAGAATTATGTGGTGTTGTGAACTGATTTATACTGAGCAAGGTAAAAACTCAATATTTCTTTCCTGCTTCCTGCTAAAGGCATACTAAATTAGTCTTTTTTCCTTAGGTTTATGCCCCGTCAGCAAGCACTGCCGACTACAATAGGGATTCACCAGGTTATCCATCCTCAAAACCAGCAGCCAGCACTTTTCCTAGCTCCTTCTTCATGCAAGGTAAGACGCTGCTTTCAAAAGGAAATCTGTTTTGCATACATTTTCTGTGTTTGTATTTTGGTTTATATGTAGTCAAGACGCGCTGGAATATCATCTTGTGGTCTGTAACATTACCATTAAAATGAAGACCTGTACGTCTTCGTTTGACCATTATGCCTCTGAACATCTTGTTTTGATCCTGCAGTGAAGCAGCATAACGAATAACTTGCCAGCCTCTTATCACTTGAGGCTCTTGAAGCATTTTTTTTCCAGCATGTGCCTGTGCACGTATATTATGCATATATTAAATGCACACAAATTTGTGCATGTACTTTGTGCATTGTTGTTTTACGTTAATGAGAAAGTTTTTGTCTTACGTGAAGTATACGGTGCTACAAGTATGTCTATTTGCGTGCATGTGGAGTTAGAGCAACCTTTTTAAAATGAAGCCATTTCTCTCGTTTGAGGATGGGTTAATAGTTTTCATGTATTCATTGCTACCATGTTGTATTTCTCACAGTGATTACGTGCAAGTATAATGAAATTCGGTATAACTTAGTAAATAAGATTCCTAGAGTTTGGAAAGATCCACACACAATTAGGGTGCTCATCTTTTGCCACATTTAGGATAAAATAATTGGGTTTTAAACACTTCTACATATACTCTGCTTTAGGCTAAGTAAAGGGTAAGTAAACCTGTTTAATTCAGCGGGACTGCTAGGCTAAAGTATTTGCAGGGCAAGGGATTGGCTTTTATTCTATGCACATATATATACGCTTTCCAATTCCCACCCTTAGGGAAAAAAGAAAACAACCCACTTTTGTGTCCCCACCACCTGAAGGTCATGGGCACTGCTCAGCGTCCCCGGGGATGGCTCAGCTCCCTGTCGTGGGGTGACCGGGCCGTCTCCTGCGGAGCTCCGCCACGTCTCCGGCTCTTCGTTCGAGGATGCTCGTGTCTGGGTTTCCGTTAGGCAGCTGCCGCGGGAGGACGAGCTGGCTGCCTGCGAAGGAGCGGCAGCGGGCAGGACCGGCAGGGATGCGGGCAGGAAGGACCACTGCACCCTCCCGCCCCGGGTCCGGGGCTCGAGCGCTGCAAGGAGGGGTTCTGCTGGTCCTCCGCCAGCTCTGGTGGGTCCTCGTGGGAGGGAAGAGGACATCGTTTAAAGCACTGACCCCGTTGGTTGCCTCCTGCGGTGGGGGATCTGCATCTGGGCCATTTCCTGAGCGGTGGGAAGTATAGACCATGACTGAAAAGAAAACGGTGCTCTTGGCTTAAAACGTGAATAAATACCGCCCAAAGAGCAACCTGCTATGAAACTCCTATAGAGCTATAAAGCCGGGGATTAATAGGCTTCTAATGAAATCAAACATTTACCCTTTGTAGTGCTTAGCCATTCTGCGTTTTTAAATGTTATCTTCTCGCAGATTCATATTGAAGACATAAATCTGAGTTAAATGACTGTTCAAACAGCCATGGGAAGGTGATGCTGGAAGTGCTGCTGCTGCCAGGGTGTTTGAAGTGTATAAATAAGGCAGGGCTGTAGGTGAGACATAATAATTTTCTATTAGACCAACTCCTGTAGTTTGGAAAAGCCAACAACTTTTCCAGCCCACGTGCCCGTCTTTCAGGTCTGCTGATCATTATGGAAAAGTTACCTTCTTTTTCTTTTTTTTGTTAACGCATTGGCATTCTCCCAGTAGAAAATACATTTCACTGCATTATTATAATTCCATTTCAGCATGTCTAGTTAAATGCAAAATACGCAACCAACTATTTTACTTGTTAAAACTTGGGGAGCCCTTTTTATACTCTTCAGTGCGCATTGTACCTCAGCGGTGAACTGGCCTGAAGGATGAACGCTGTGCTTAGGAGATGCAGAGACGCAAGCTGTCAAACCCCTAAAAGGAGAAACCATACAAGTGGTGCTACTGTCTTTTTAAAGAAACAAACAAAAAGCAACAACAAAACAACACGGAAAACTTTCTGGATGTGGAAACATTCAAAGTTCAGGAATTCTCTGATCATTTACCAAGTTGAGGCTTCCCCAAAGCTCGTTAGCCCATCCTCGTTCTGTAGGCTTCAGTGTATTTTTGTTTCAGTGTTCAGACTTTTGTCTCTGATGAAATTTGTTATAACGGAGTTTATGTGCTTGAGTTTATGGTACCTGAGCAGGCATAAAGCAGCAGGAAACTTTCAAGCCTAAGTGATGTGACTGTAATGAAGCATTGCAGGATGACACGAGCATTCACCGTTGCTCAGTTCAGCTTCATTTTTATTAAAGTACGTGGCTTTATGCTAAAGCGGCATAGCGCTGTAGCCCCGTTGGGGTCATCAGGATGGAGTCCGCAGAGGCACAAAGCCGGCGGTTCTGCAGGGTCTGGTGCCGGCGGCCAGCGGTGTTCCCCTCCTGTGTTACAGATGGCCATCACAGCAGCGACCCGTGGAGCTCCTCCAGCGGGATGAACCAGCCCGGGTACGGGGGCATGCTGGGCAACTCTTCTCACATCCCCCAGTCCAGCAGCTACTGCAGCCTGCACCCGCACGACCGCTTGGGGGGGGTGTGCACGGCGGGAGGGGCACGGCTTGCGCTGGGCAGCGGTCGGCACATCGCACCTACCCGCTCACGGCATGGACACGTCTTCACGTTTGCGCCGCTAAAACGTTCTCCGCGCACCGTTGCGTGTTCCCAACTCTGCAAAAATGAGTTTGAGAAATCTCGGCAGCCTTTGCCTCAGGGGTTTTAGTCGGGCTCTGCTGGGGGAAGGAAGGTTTCAAGCTTGAAGGGTAGCACGGGCTGGGAAAGTCTCGGGAGTGGAGGTGGCTGCCTCTGCCTTTGGAAGGGTGGTGATGAGGTCCTGCCACAGCTTCACCCTGTGTGCAGTACGTGTTTCCACTGAAGGTCACCACCTCTGTACAGAACCTCTCCTGCTGCAACTGAGAAGCGAAAAGAGGAGAAAAAAATTATCTCGCAGACTGTTCTGTTCCTTCAGCCGAAGTTGCAAGAAGAGGGTTGAGCCCACGTTTGTACCCTCTGCTGGTCTGGTGGCCGCCAGCCTGGCGATGAGCTGCCCACGCCTCTGCTTTTCGGTGTTTATAATTTATGGCGGTCAGTGTCCTTTACTGGTCTGATTCTATAGATAACTACCTAGCATCAATTTTCTGCTTTAAAAAAGGGAGGTTTTTAATTTTCTCCGGTACATCCTGATCTCTCGCAGGAGGAAGTTGCTGGGACCGATTCCATCTATTGTATTGGAATAGAACAAAAGTGGAATTAAATCTGATCTGAGTGCAGCTTAGGAGATATTCTCCTAATATCACGGCTGAATTGATTATGTAGAAGTAACACTGGATTGCATCAATTCAGGTTTTTTTGGTTTTGTTTTGCTTTTAAGTAAGAGGCAAAGAAACAAACAGACAGCTAAACTGAAGTAGTTTTTCTCAAAATGTGTACAGCATTACAAGTAATGTTCTTCTATTCTGTACCTCTGCTTTTCATTCTTGGAAGACCGTTAAAAAGGAGGAGTAATGAGGAGTACTGGTTTTAAGGGAGGAAGGAGTCCGTTGCTGTAAAGTCTTGCAGAACCATCTATTGGGGAGTAAGAAGAATTAAACTCACTCTTGCAAACTGAAAATTAATTTGCAAAACAAATCTTTGAAGTCTCACATTTAATGAGGTTAGCACACTGCTATGGAAAATTAATAGGAAGTCAAAAGCAAAAGAAATTGCCTCAAAAACTGCTTAATCATGTCCTTATAAAAGGCATAATTAAGGCACTAAGCAAACTTAACGTTGCTCTGAAGTGACAAGCATATATAATAAAAATTGAGCATAACTTTTAAAACCCAATTTAATCTAATTTGTTACCTGCACTGGTACTCATTCATCAGAATTAGGTGGCTTTTCATGGTACCGGCTCAGGGTAGAGGTAAGACAGCTGAGTGCCTTCATGGGGCAAGTCTGCAAACATTTTTGCATTTAAGTTTATGTCGATTCTGAATTTCTTGGTTTTGTAACATGGAGGGGTTTTTATGAAGAGTTAAAATATTTCTGCAATGTAAATTGGGTAGGGATATTCCACCTGAACTCCCCAGAGTGTTTTTCTATGTAGGTATTACTATTTTTATCCTAAATTTCCAAGATAGTGAGGACCGCTGATACCAGTTTGAGTTGCAGGTGTTCAGTGCCGACGATGCTCATATTAATCATTTATTATGTATGCCTGGACTGGCAGAGCCTTCTGTATTTTAGGTATCACTGGGACAGAAGGTAGGCAGTGATACTTTAAATAAACTCTGCATAATTTCTGCTGGAGCATCAGTGAGAGGTCAGCTGCAGCATCCATGAGTGGTCAGCTTGTCGAGGAAAGTTTGAGTGATTTCAGTTCAGTTCCCTGCAAATGTCCTTAACTTCTCAGTGCCCTGTAGAGAAAATGCATATAGCAAAAGAAAGAAAGAAAAGCTGTTGTTTATTATTTTTACTTTCTCAGGCATAGCAGTGATTTTCTAAATAGATGCATTGAATACAGAGAACGGTTCTCCACTAAACTATATTCAGCTCCCATGTTTTTCCTAAAATGTTTGGCAATAGTGGTTTGATGTCTCCCCCTGAGAAATGAGAAAATCCCAAACCAGCACTTCGATACATGTCATGGAACAGCCGTTTAGCAGGGGAGATGGAGTCACTCCTGTTCGGACCATTGCCTAAGCGCTCCTCGTTTGCTCGTTTCTCCATCGCAGGAGAAATCTGCTCAGCTGTGCCATTTCAGCCAGTTGGGTTTGGGGCTGAAGCCCTGGAGCGGTTTACAATGAGTCAAAGCCTGAAAATGTTATTCAGACCTCAGTCAGAGTTGATGGTCGTTTTTCCATGGATAAGAAAAATAGGTTTGGGCTATGTTGTTTACATTCTTTGAGATAACTTTCAAGTATTCAGTTACTTGGCACTTAATTGCAAGAAAGCCTGCAACAGTAATTAAATAGTACAAATGAAGGGAAGGATGTTTTCAGCCAGCTTACGCTGAACCACCTAGGGAGGCAGAAGACACAGAGATGATCTTGCAATAACCTCAGTGCCTTGATCCTGGGCCAGGTACTGCCATGTGTCTCCAGCTACACGTGTTTCTAAGGAGGCTTTGTATCAGAGTCTCCAAAACCTAGAGGTCTTCTGCAGGACCTCTTCTCTGCAGGGGGGCAACGCTGGGATAGAGATAAAAGCTGGGCATGTTCTAGGACCTGTCTGCACACAGTGTCTTACACTGATCAAGAAAAGACTTCAGCAGTGACAAACGGCACTAATGTAAGCCAGGTTTATAGTCATGCAAATTCAGCAAAACACTAGACCGCAGCAATGTTGTGTCACAGTAAGGAAGGTTTGTGTTGATCCAGCCATATAGCTACCAAAGTCTTCTGTGTGCTGCCCAGACGCTTGTCCCACACTTCTTTGGAGAACTTGATCCGTCGCATTTTCGACCGTCTGTCGCACAGGCGCTGCAATGGGAGGGCAAATTGATCCAGTTGATTACCTGGGGTGCCGATGTGTTTCCTTATGGCACGTTCTGTAATACCAGCCACCCACGTCTTGTAGTCAGATCTTGTTCTTAATGTCAAAAGCAGCGTGGGGTTTCTACCACTTCTGTTGGAAGGCTTCTCCTCCAGCCAGTAGCTGTCCCTGTCAGAAAGGTTTGCTTGATACATCACCTAACTTTTCTTTTTAATTTTTTCTCATTACATCTCTATGGTACCGTCATGCGTTACGAGCCTTCCACTGTGGATATTTATCCGTATCAGATAGGTGTATGTGGTGTCTCCTCCAGAAGATGACAAGTTAGGACAAGTTTAGGACGGGAGGAAATGGCCTCAAGTTGCGCCAGGGGAGGGTTAGATTGGACATGAGGAAAAATGTCTTTACTGAAAGAGTGGTTAAACATTGGAACAGGCTGCCCAGGGAAGGGGTTGAGTCCCCATCCCTGGAGGTATTTAAAAGACGTGTAGATGCGGTGCTTAGGGACGTGGTTTAGTGGGCATGGGGGTGTTGGGTTGACGGTTGGACTCGATGATCTTAGAGCTCTTTTCCAACCTTAATGATTCTATGATTCTAAGTTAGGGTAGAAAAATATGCTCCCTGCTTAGTCTTAGGGCAGCATTCTGCTTTTCTCAGTTGGGTGAAGTACGGCAGCGCTTGGGACTGGGGCAATATAAGCAGCCTGCTGCCTTCCATGTTCTCGATAGTTAAAATATTTCCTCTTTTTTATCCTTTTTGCCACAGAGCTACCCATCACACTCCTCAGCAGACATCAATTCCAGTCTTCCTCCGATGTCCACCTTCCACCGCAGTGGCACAAATCATTACAGCGCATCTTCTTGCACACCCCCTGCCAACGGGACGGACAGTATCATGGGTGAGTTGAGGTCGGGCACTGCGGCTGCCGCCCGAGGCTCTCCCTTTCCCTCCTGTCTCCACTCTCCTCTGCTTCAGTGCACTGTGCTAGCGCCAAAGACCTGAAATCAGGGTGGAGGGTTATTTGATGGTATATCCCGGTGTGCGGAAGGACTAGCTTCTTAGTTCAGCAGGTGCAGAAAGATAGCAAGAATTTCATGGAAATAAGTACATCATAGTTGACCTTTGCCTCCTTTGCTTATGCATTTTACTACTACTACTTCTTTTTGTGAATTAAATATAATCACAGCAAAGCGCTTTGCTTCAAAGTTTGTATGGAAGACATTGTACCAGCTAAGTGCCTGGTCCCGCTGGTTTTGAAGTCTGGTTTTATTGTCTTTAGTGATTTAATTGCCTGCAGTGCCGTGTGAGGTGATACTTCTGTATCACGACATTCATCCCCTTCAGTTCTTTGCTAGGCTTCCACAGGGTGTGGGGGAAGCGGCGGGGGGGGGGTGAGTCCCCATCCCTGGAGGTATTTAAAAGACGTGTAGATGCGGTGCTTAGGGACGTGGTTTAGTGGGCATGGGGGTGTTGGGTTGACGGTTGGACTCGATGATCTTAGAGGTCTTTTCCAACCTTAATGATTCTATGATTCTAAGTTAGGGTAGAAAAATATGCTCCCTGCTTAGTCTTAGGGCAGCATTCTGCTTTTCTCAGTTGGGTGAAGTACGGCAGCGCTTGGGACTGGGGCAATATAAGCAGCCTGCTGCCTTCCATGTTCTCGATAGTTAAAATATTTCCTCTTTTTTATCCTTTTTGCCACAGAGCTACCCATCACACTCCTCAGCAGACATCAATTCCAGTCTTCCTCCGATGTCCACCTTCCACCGCAGTGGCACAAATCATTACAGCGCATCTTCTTGCACACCCCCTGCCAACGGGACGGACAGTATCATGGGTGAGTTGAGGTCGGGCACTGCGGCTGCCGCCCGAGGCTCTCCCTTTCCCTCCTGTCTCCACTCTCCTCTGCTTCAGTGCACTGTGCTAGCGCCAAAGACCTGAAATCAGGGTGGAGGGTTATTTGATGGTATATCCCAGTGTGCAGAAGGACTAGCTTCTTAGTTCAGCAGGTGCAGAAAGATAGCAAGAATTTCATGGAAATAAGTACATCATAGTTGACCTTTGCCTCCTTTGCTTATGCATTTTACTACTACTACTTCTTTTTGTGAATTAAATATAATCACAGCAAAGCGCTTTGCTTCAAAGTTTGTATGGAAGACATTGTACCAGCTAAGTGCCTGGTCCCGCTGGTTTTGAAGTCTGGTTTTATTGTCTTTAGTGATTTAATTGCCTGCAGTGCCGTGTGAGGTGATACTTCTGTATCACGACATTCATCCCCTTCAGTTCTTTGCTAGGCTTCCACAGGGGGTGGGGGAAGCGGGGGTGGCGGCTTGTCCATGTAAGGAAGAGAGCTGCCTCTGACGTCGCTGAGGGTGACTCTGTAAATTAAGAGCATGCCTCTGTATACTTAAATATTTGGCAAATACCGGTTCATACTTAAATACAGGAAATAAAAAAATATTGCTTCGCCTATATCTCAAAGAGCAAATAAAGCTAATTAAATAATGGGTAAATAGGGAACACATCGCTGGACACATGTTTTGGATTACACACGTGATTCTGTATTGAATGACTGCGAGCAGGACTAATGCAGTAAGAATGGAGGGTGGGTTCAAACATTAACACATGGGCATCATATTGTTCAGGGTCTCTGAACAAAGAAGAAACTAAATACAGTCCCTTCTTAATTTGTCACTGTCTGAGAAAAACGTATCCCATTTCAGGATAGCATTTCTGTGCTCAATCTTGCCATTCCATTGAGAGTTCTTCCTTTACAATGTGTCACTGCTTCTGTGTCCGTGACATAGGAAAATCACTCGTTCTTTCTCCCTCAAAAGAAGTCTAATAGAGTCAAATTTAATTCAGCCGTCTTTACACCAGTTATGCAGCAGCCTTACAGATAACATTTAGGGACGCAAAAATCTCGCAGAGGGACGTAAACAGGTAGGAGTGCGAATGCAGCCTCCTGCCCTGTGCCTCAGGGAGCCACCCAGAAAAGTGCCTAAATTTCCCATGTAAAAAATGCATCCGGATTTTCATCTGGATTCATCTCCTGAAAAACCCAGTGTGTGAATCAGAAGAGCAACAATACAAATATGCAGATTTTTTTTAGCAGCTGTAAATATTCAACAAGTAGTACTGTTGAGCTGTGTCTGAACTGAGGGCTGCAAAAGTATTTCTTGGATCTCAGTGCAAGTCCTATTCTCCTCCTAAACCAGTGAACCTCCCCTGAAGTCTGGGCACACGCCGTCTTGTCCCTGATTTTCCTGAGAAAGCCGTTGGAGCTGGCCCAGCCGGGAGGCGATGTGCCTCCATCCTGGTCCCCGAGGGCGTTGGCGTAGCCCCGCCGTGCCATCCCCGCCTGGGGACACAGACCACAGTGAGCAGGGCTCGGGCAGATGAGCTGCGTTCCCTGATGGTCGTGCAGCTTTGAAAGACAGGAGGGAGAGAATCCTTTCAAGGGACTATAGGGCGGCATTGGCAGTGGTTAATTTTATGCTAAGCATTAGCTTTTTATTTTCAAAGGTCTGAAGCGGTGCAATGTTTAGGCAACCAGTTATTGAGATAGAGCGCCTTTAGCATACGCTGTACGAGTCTTTCGTATCCGTCTGATGCATGTATTAATCCCGCTTGCTGCTTTCACTTCTAATGACATGTTGTTTGTGTGACATTATGCACTGTGACATGCAGCTTTTCCAGGAGAAACATTATGTGCATTTCCCCTTGAGGCACTGGTTTCACAGTAATTTTATTACCAGAGCAGTCACATAATACTGCACTGTATATTTTACAAGTATGTTAAGCTTCCAGTTACAGGAGGGTGGTGAACTGTCACGCAGTATGAGAAGAATATGACTTTTATCCAGCAATGTCACTTCCTCATAATTTGGGAAGATCATCAGCTGTGAATACCGAGATGGTGCAAGTTTTTCCACTCTTCTTAACATAGAAACATAATTTCCAGTCTGCTGTTTCAGAAAGCGCTATTCCATCAGAACAGCGTGAGTTTGTACTAGAATTTAAACTATAAAAAGTCTGGCTGGAATTCTCTAATGGAAGGCTCCAGCCTATCGGTTACACGAGATGCTTTGCTAGATATAATTGTACTCGCTGAGATACAGATTCCTGGAATTTTATTCAATAATCTAAGATTTACAATCAGAATCCCACCAGAAGGATGTGAAAAGGCTGTACTTCATCATTCTGTCCCTTTGCCTTCCAGTGCAGAATTGTTCTTCGCAGAAGCATGCTGAGAAAGTTTTAGGAGATTAACTGTAACAATAAACACGCTCTTCAACAGAGTTAGAATCAATCCATCAAAAGGTTGCAGTCTTTCACGATGTCTTCAGTACATTAATAGTCTTGTGAGTGGGGGAATAGCTCACAAGTAAAAGCGACAGCTTTTGCGGTGCGTTTTCAAGTCCTGTTTTACAATCCTGTTCCCAAGTTATCTTTGTCTTCTGCATCACGCGAAAATTTGCTGATGCTTCGTGTCAGTGGAGACCTGCCCTTCTCAAGTGGGGAAGCCAGCGTTCAGGCTCACGTCTGTGTAGTTGTAGTCTCTAATAATAAGTGCATTTAGACCGGTTTGAGGAAATAAGACTAGCAGAGGTAGATGAGAAATGCCTTACTGCTTCAGACGGGTGGTCCGTCTAGTTAGCCTTCAGTGGCAAAATGTAATCCTGGCCATTTCTGCAGCTCCTGCCCTTTGCACTGCCCCAGCACCCAGGACTGTCACGATAGTGAGGTTGGAGGGGACATCCCTGCCTGGTTCTTCAAGCACCTATTTATGGACCTGTTGCCCATGCGGTTGTCTAATCCCCTTTGAACCTGCTGAGGCTGTCTGCTTGCACGGCTTCCCCTGGCTGCACGCTCGCTACCTGCTGTGTGGAGATGGACTTCCCTTACCTGTTTTAATTTCTTTTCCTGGAAGTTTCATTGAGTATTCCCTTGCTCTTGCCTCAAACCTTTGTCCATCATCAATTAATTAATTAATTAAACCTTTCTTTAAGTCTGGATTTGGCTACTTCGTTCTATTAAAGCCCAGTGCAGAGATGTCTTGGATAAACTGTGCCCTTCCAGGTTTGGGGGAGTTTCATGGCGTTCCTTGCGCTAAGTTGTTCAGGGTTTTGCATAAGAACTTGAAAATATCTGTCCTTGTTCAGACCCACAGCTCATCTATGCAATGGTCCTATCTCCGGCAAAGACTCTAAGGATTTCTTTGGGAGGAATAGAAAAACAAAGCAAACATGTATGATATTTTCCCAGTCGTTCCAGGGCTGGGTGCAGCGCTGAGTATTTAGGAAGCTTGAGTTCATTCTTCTCCATGAAGTGACCCAGCCTTTCCTGGAGGCTTGGTCTGGCACAGTGACGTTATGCGTTTGTGAAATGGTGCTCCTCCTCTTTCATTTTGACTCTGCTCCCTCAAGACCTGTTGTGGTCCCCCCTCCTTCTCATGCTGCCGTAAGGACCAGATGATAGCCTTTCTGCCCTGCTGTTTGGGCTTATGTAGCCTGCGTCATACCCCGCTGTAGTGGTCCCTTTTCCAAGCTGGAGAATCCATATTTATCGAGTTCGTCCTCTAAAGGAACCACCCTCTGCTTTATCTGACTTCACTTCTGTTCTGTAGACCTTGATGCTCTTCCTTGATGGACGTACCAGATCTTTGCTCTGTATCCAAAATACAAGTGTGTTGTGAATTCGTAGAGGGACGTAACGGGCTTCTGGGTTGTCTCTCCTCTTTGCCCAGTCGTTGCTCGTTGTTGGGGTTTTCTTGGGGGCAGCGAGGGGCTGGTTCTGCTGCTTAACCATCAGCTCAGGTTGTCAGCTAATTACTGACTGCAGCTCTAGGTTTTCTCCTCTTTCTGGACTGCTTGTTAGGTAACTGAGAGCCTGCTT